TCCGGCCCCGCTCCGGCTGCGGGAGCGACGGCAGCTCCGCGGCCGGGACACGGGGTGAGGGGCTGCCCTGCTCCTTCGGCCACCAGAAACAGCCCATTTCTTTCCCCCCCTTTCTAACAAACGCCAAATTGCGGAAGTTTCCGCTTTTCTGACGTTTCTGCTCTTCCCCGCCGTGGGGTGACGGGCTTGGAGCCAGGGACAAGGGGGACGGGGTGTGAAGGGGAAGCTCCTGCTGGGAAAGCAAAGGCAACCCCGGCCATTCCACCTCGCTTTTTTGGGAGTGTGGAAGTTCAGCTTCTGCAAAGGGCACCCAGGAAAGGGGAGCAGGATGTTCAACCACACACACAAAAAAAAAAAAGGCCAAAAAAAAAAAAGGCAAAAAAAAGGCAAAAAAAAGAAAAAAGCTGGGGTCACAAGAGTGCATTTTCCCCCAAGGATGCCTCATGGCCCGTCCTTCTGTCCTGCCCTTCCTCTCCCCAGCAGGATCGTTGCAAGGGGACCGGCTGCCACGTGGAAATCGCGGGTCCCCACAGGAGCCCGTGTCCCCAGCTGGTCCCCACGCACCGGGTTTGCAGGGCAAAGGGCTGAGCAGCTGCCAGGGCCACGTCAGAGGCGCCTGGTCACCTGCACTGACATAACCCAGCACTGCCCGGCCACAGGGGACAAAATGGGAGCCAAGGTCCCCAAATGTGGCGCTTCCCTGCCCTCCCCAAACACCCAAATGAAAACAAAATAAGCCCAAAAGCAAAACACACAAAAAAAAACAACTAAAATCAAACAAAGGCTTGGCAGAAAATGAGTCCAGGTTTTGGTGAGAAGATAAGCAGGGGAGGGTGAGGGTGGTTTTATTTATTTTTGGTGCTTTTCAGGAGCTGCTGCAGGCTCGCAGGGAAGGCCACTGGGTCCCAGGGGACATCAGTCCCCACCACAGGTCTCCTCTGTAACATGGGGCAAGAAAACAGAAAGAAGCTAGAGCCTGGCAGCAAAAAAAAACAGAGCAAAGGTTCAGCCGCAAGGCTGCCCGGCTCCTCCTCGGGCACCACGTAGCAGCCTCTTACCAGAAGAAAAATGACGAGTAAAATAAAAATAGCAGATGAGTCACGCAGGGGAAGGCGGGCAGGGGGGCTGGTTACTGCAGGTATCTCTGACTCCTCTCCAAGCACTCCGTGTTTTTTTTTTTTTTTTTTTAAATCTTGGACATGAGTGACCCACGATCCGGCCGATGTCGGTGCTGGATCCAGGCTGGGATGAGCCCCGGCCTGCAGCACCCGTGGGTGCCCTTTGAAGCCGGGTGACTCCGAGCTCGTGGGGACAGCCCTTCCTCCCCAGCAGCCTCGTTCCGCAGGCAGCAGCAATTTGGGTGTGTTTAGCAAAGCTAACGAAGGCATGAGCTGGGAAAGGAGTGGCTTTGCCACAGCACCAGCCCCAGCCCACAAAGTTATTTCCCTGGGAGGTGGCGCAGGAGCATAAAAGCAAAGGAGAAGGAGGGGGTTTTACAGCTGCCCAGGAGTGGTGGGATCCAACCTTGGTTTCCTCAGGGAGCTTGTCCCTTCAGCAGACATGGGACAAAGCTGGAACCTGTGGGCAGGTCCCAGCTCGGGGCTGGCCACGTTGAGGGCACCAGGAGCTCCAGTGAATCAGCCCTGCTGCCTTTGTCCCGACAGTCCCAGGAATCCCACGGTGACCCGAGCACCTCGATCCCATGATCACACTCTTCCTCCTTGGGGGGCAAGTGGCTCCTGGCTCCATCACCCTTGGAAGGGCCGCAGGAATGGGGAGGTTCAGCAAGGAGAGGTCCTGACCCTCCGTAAGTTCTGCTTACACTAGGATCATTCATTCTTGGATTCCAAGATGTTTTTTATGCTGCTTCTAGATTCAGTGCAGAAAAGGAGGCTGGGCAATCTGCTTCCCAAGCCTTTCTTGCTGCTCTGACAGGATCCAGGATCCCACAGGACTACAGCGGATAAATCCCCTGGGGTCTAGGCCAGCAGCCCATAGAATCAGCACAAGGAAGAGCAGGGCAGACACCTCCAGCCCTGTGGTAGCCACAGCCCCATGACCAGGCTTCATTCCTCAGCTTTGAAGAGTCCCATTTGCAGTCAGCAAGCTGCATAAGGAGCTTTTTTCCCAAGCCTCCTCCTTGGCACATCTGGACATTAACAGCTATTCTACACTTTAACCAAATCCACAGCATTTGCAGTGCCGGCTTCAGGCTGAACTCCCAGCCCTAACCCTCTTAGCAAGCACAAGAGTCCCCAGCAAGAAGACAAGCTCATTTTTACTGCTACATTTTTATTAAAGTAACAAAAGCATACCTTTGTCAAAGGATCTGTACATTTTGCATATAAAAACACTGCTATACAATTAGTAACCATCCACTCCCTCCTCCACACACAGCTTACAAGCTTTCTATTTTCACTACAGACAAAAAGCAGGTCCCGTTCAACAGTCCAGCTTATTGTTAAAAAAAAGGAAAAATCCCCAAAATACACATTAAGATACACACCATTCAGCTCTGCAAACAAGGCTATCAGGCTTATAGGCAGGAGGCAACAGAGTACACTAATTCACAGCTTTTATATGTAACCAGCTACAAGAGAAATGAGTTACACCCACATTTGGTTGTTTTTGAAGCTAAAAAACAAGACACTTTTCATGTCAGACTCCTCCATGCCAGGGACAAAGAGAATGAGGTTTGGCTATTTTTGCTTTGAGTGGGGGGCACATTAAAAGCACTCACAGAATATTCCTCTGAGCGTGGGCTGGTCGCCCACAAACTTCTCTGGTGAGACCGAGGACAGAGTATGAGGGTAACCTTAAAAGACCACATTGATCATGACAAGGGACAACCCAAGGAAGTACCAGCCACGGGGAAACTCCCCACCCAGCCAAGCACACAGTTCATCCTGGACACACTGCACGTCTCATCCCAGGCTTTCCATACAACCACGTGAAAAACAAGGGCTCCAAACAGCATTTCAAGCTCTCCTCCTTGAAAAAAGTGTAGTTTACTTTCTGGAAGTTCCCCAATATCATCCGCTTTGCGACGTCACCTATTGCACAATTTCACCAAAGGAAAAGCCCCAGTGCTTTGTTTCAGCTTCTGCTTTGCTGATGTGAGAAATCTAAGTGATGTAGAAGGAAGTGATGCAACTTCAGCACTAGTCTGCTATTACTGTTCAAGGACAAGCAACTCACCCCTTGGCATCCTTACAGGATAAAACAATTGAGGCTGGTTTTCCAGTTCAACAATTCATGATTCAGAACTACAAAAATCCAGACCTAGCTTCTCACATAAGTAATTGGAGAGTTGGGAAGCTCAGCTGGATTTTCTTATATACTTAAAATAACCAAGCTAAGAACTGTGGCAAATGGGAGGCTTTCTTCCTCTACCAGAGCATCCAAGATTTGGAAATATATTGCACAAATGTTGAGAACTTGACTCAAAGGCTGGGAAAGAACAACTCTGGTTATGCCACTCAGCTGCCAAGTCAGAGGAAGGTTAGAAACAAGAACTGGAAACAGATCTGAGAAGTTTTGTTAGCCCAAACCACGTCAACGCCCTTGTTTTCAGATCGCTTCTCCCTGGATCACCGTGGGTCACTATAAAGGCAATGGCAGAGTGTCCTGGTAAAGGCTCATTCCCAACAGGCAGATAAAGGTCTCAGGCAGCACTTGCTGTTCCCACCTCGTCTGTAGTTGCCAGAGCAGTTTAAGGGCCAAATCCTGAGCGCTCCGGCAGGTCTCCCTGGCCACACGTACCACCGGGACACCCACAGTTCTTGAGCAGGCAAAGCACGGAGCATTAGTTGTGCAAAACAGTTGTGTAAAACAGTTGTGTACCAAGAAACCAGCCCAGCCGCTGCCCCCCGAGCAACGGGGCAGCTCCCACCATCAGCCAGCACCGATCACCCAGAGGAAGAGGGGGAAATGTTTGAATTTAAAAGTGTCACGACACCATAGCACCCAAAATCCCAACCTCAGAACAGCCCCACACAACAGGTACTGCCAGTACCACCCCAGCAATGGCAATACTCATCCTGGGAGCCTTCTCCAAACAGTCCGGCCCTCCGTGCATCTCTGCTGTGCTCCATTTCACAGGGCACTGACACCCTCCGTGGCCTTTTCAGACAGGAGATGAAGATGTTGGGGGTGGCCACGCGTCCCATCAGTTCACCCCGGGAATGGGGCAGAGCAGAGCTGCAGAAACTGCATCCAGCAGGTCCAGAGAAGACGGAGAGCAAAGAGGGATCCCCAGCACCACCAAGCCCTGAGGCCAGGTAAGATCCCCCCACATGCAGGTCCCAGAGATCAGCCCAGCTGGGAAACGAGGGGTTAGTGAGGGAAACAGCATCTCCCCCATCCCTTCCCCAACAATATTGCGATCCTTGGTGACACAGCAACACTGTTGGGTACCAGGACTGGGAGAAGGCCACACGGCCACCTCCCAGCACCAAGCCACGCTTCCCAGTGTGCCTCTTCCCCCTCTTCCTCCGTTCCAAGCTGCCCAAGTGAGCAAGTCAACCCACCAAAATTGCCATCCAATACTAATTAGGTAGATATCGGCTTCATAATAAAAACTCATAAGCTTGCAACAGCTTTAAAAAAGGCACCTAAGGCACTGCTTCTGTCCAAAGCAGCGCCCAATATTTTAATTTTGGATTTTCTTGGATTTTTTTAAAAAATATAAATAGCTCTTCATCTTAAAAATAGATCCTCAGGTGAGGTATACAGTAGCCTGTGTCTTGGCAGTGTGAGGACAAGAGGAGTGTTTAGCTGGAGACAGTCATGATGTAGTTTTTGGAAGGGCTGGTGCGCCCCAGCATCATCTGGTTCTTGCAGGTTAGCAGCCCGTAGGAGCTCCCGGGTTTCGTGGCCGCCGCTTCGTACAAGACGCAGATGGAGCCGTCCTCGCCGATGCGGTAGGACACCTCGTAGGGGTCCACCCAGAGCGTGAGCTCGCTGGGCAGCAGCTGGTAGAGCTGCGGGAGGCTCAGTCCGATGTGGCTCGCTGCCTTGCTGATGATGGGGTCCATTTTGTGGTTGATGCGGATGCAGCGATAGCCGGAGCCTTTGAAGGGCTTCTCGGGGAACCAGTGGTGTTTGTAGTGCTCTGCAAGAGAGGAGGAGCGGTGAGGGGCAGCTCTACAGGCTCAGAGTCCTTTCCATCTCCCTCCGTCGCACGGAGGATCCAGAGTTAAGCACTCAGCTTTGTTCCTGCTCGCTCCGAGGGGCAGGACAGGCTCTCTGGGTCCTGGAAAACCCAGGCAGGACGTGGCCACAGAGACAGGACCCGACACCTTCCCCAGCACAGGGTGGCCGGGGCAGACACAAGTATCCTCAGCAGCGGAGCCCACGCTCCGGGAGCAGCATCCAGGTCGCGCTGGGAGCTCGGGATGTGTCACTATCATCCCCGCGCGGCGACGGACAGACTGCTCCTTCCCAGGAGCGACAACAAGGGAGCGGGGCCAGGTCGGGGGAGACCCCGAGCCCTGGATGCCCTCGTGGGGAGGCACCAAAACCGGGTGCGGGGATGAACCTGGTCCTAGGGAGGAGAGCAGGGGGGTGTCCCCACAGCCCGGCGGGACACGGG